AGTATATACAAGAGTGAATACTAAACATTATTTAATATTAAGAGGTGAGAACCATTTGGACAGGGGACAGGTGTGGGAAAGATAATTCACAGTATACATTTTATCTGTATTTTTTTTAACTATGTGTTAATGTATTATCTACTTTGAAACCTTGAATAAATTTATTTATTTAAAATTAAATCATAAGTAAAGCTTATTGAACTCCTGTGTTTTCAGTTTTCTCTGTATTTAATCTTTTGTTAGTGTACATGTGTTTTTATTAATGTACATTTTGTACTGTGGTAAGGTACATAAGATATAAAATTTATCACTTTAACTTTTTTTCATATTTGCTAAGAGATTTCTCCCTCTCCCCCATTTTTTGAGGTATAATGGACATATAACATTGTATTAGTTTTAGTACAATGTAATGATTTGATACATGTATACATTGTGAATGTATTTAATATTTTGAATGGAAAATAACATCAAAAAGTATTAAAAGATGATCAATTTCCTGATGCTCATGTCGTGAAGAGCTTGACAGATCCACTCCCCAATCAAACTGGTGAAAAGTATTAAAAAGCAACTATGTTTAAAGTCTCTGGAATTGTTTTCCAGCTGGAACCATGGAGAGCGCAGAAGAAGTTTCCTGCTGTGCCAGAAACCCTCAAGAAAAAGCAAAGGAGTTTTGCAGAGCTGAAGATCAAGCTCCCGAGAAAGAAGTTTGCCCAAAAGATGCTTTGAAAGGCAAGGAGGAAGCTTATCTATGAAAAAGCTAAGCACTGTCACAAAGAATATAAGCATATGTACAGACTGAGATTCGAATGGCTAGGATGGCAAGAAAAGCTGGCAACTTCTATGTACCTGAGGAACCCAAATTGGCATTTGTCATCAGGATCAGAGGCATTAATGGCGCGAGTCCAAAGGTTTGAAGGGTGCTGCAGCTTCTCGCCTTCACCATATCTTCAATGGCACCTTTGTAAACTCAGTAAGGCTTTGAGTAACATGCTAAGGATGGTGGAACTGTATATTGCATGGCAGTGCCAAAATCTGAAGTCACTAAACGAATTGATCTACAAGCCTGGTTATGGAAAAAAATGAATTGCCCTGACAAACACATTGATTGCTCGATTTCTTGGTAAATGTGGCAGCACCTGCATGGAGGATCTGACTCATGAGGTCTACACTGTTGGAAAACACTTCAAAGAAGCAAACACCTTCCTGTGGCCCTTCAGATTACCTTTTCCATAAGCGAGAATGAAGAAAAAGACCGCCCTTTTGTAAAAGGTTGAGATGCTGGCAACAGGAAAGACCAGCTCAACAGGCTTATTAGAAGGATGAACTAAGGTATCTACCGTGGTTATATTTGTAATCCGGTCAGTTAATAAACAGAAACTGCTTTCAAATTGAAAATAAAAATAAAAATAAAGTCTCTGGAGATGGTTCTAAGGGCCTACAGAAAATGAGGAAACATCTAGTCAAGAAAATCTATGAGAAAATTTAGTTAGAACAGTGAGTGTCTCTAGTACTTGATATCTCCTACCTCCATTCTACCAGTTCAGCAAGATGCAAACTCCACTCCAGATGGTGCAATAGAGTTTGTTCTCTCCTTGATCCCAGTCAGGGGGCTATCTTCTCAGGAAGGGCAGCAAGTCAGCATTTGTCATCCTGCCCTCAGCTACCTGTGCTGAGGCTGAGATCCAGGCAAGTGCAGTTTTTCGAAGAGAGAATAAATGAGACTACTCCAAAATTAGGG